AGGTACGCGGGGGGGTGGGGGGGGTGACACATATGCTTTTCATTACAAAGTGACATTAACAGGTAGTTTGATCACAAGTACAAAAATCAAAGGGTGAAGTGCACATTGGAGCAGTAAATAGACATGACAGCTATCACAAGGAGAAGGGGTGTCATGCAGGGATTTTAATGGTTACAGGTGGGCAAAAGGTAAGGGTCTGGGCCTATATAAAGTTAGGAGATGGCAATGAGGCTCTTTGATATAAAGTTAGAAACTTAAAAGAATTATAACCTTTGTGAAAAGATACACCAGATTAAAAAAAAATCCACCCACGGAAATAAGAAAACACAAGGAAATCCAATTGTCATACTTCAGCTCTGGGTAGGAAAAGAAAACCAATTCCCTTGAGAATCAGTATCCATGGGTAATCTCTCACAAGAATCCAAGGTTCAAACAAATGTTGACCCACTGACCGATGGAGCCCCAAAGTGACAATTTAACATAGAAAATGATCCCAGGGGAATAATATCTTGTGGGATACTGGGCAAAAAAAATTAAAGGGGCACACCTGAAGCTAGATCATCCCCACATGCCATAAATAAAGCCCTTCTAAAAACGAGTTCTTAATCCATAATTACAAAACAGAAAAAAGAAGAGATTGACTATATATGGAAGAAACAAACCCAAAAGACCACCCAACACTTCAAGTGATCGAACCAGCAGGTAAAGGTTATTAACTAACCATATCTAAATTAATTGAAGACCTAAAAGAAGGAATAAAAATGTGAAAAAAAAGATGAAGACATGATCAACAAAGACCAGGTGTGTGTGAACAAAGACCCTCTAGAGAAGTAAAGTGGTGGAAATGAAACCCTCCGGGGGCTCTTCGCCGACGAGCACAGCTTAAAAGAGACGTGGTGAACAGGATGATAACGCGGAGAAAATGAAGCCAAAAGAAATTTGTAAAATGGAAATATCAAAAGAGACCAGCAGATCAAGAAGAAAGCACAGTCAGTCCAGCATACTTCTAAAAGGAGTTTCAGAATGTGTGAATAACTCAAAACAAAAAATTGTAAAGAAACAACTCGAGCCCATCACGCTGATTCAGCCTCACGGAGACTCTGTAAGACAGAGTAGAGCTGCCTCGCTGGGTTTCCAACAGTGTGCATTACTGCAGGAGCAGAAAGCGTCGCCTTTCGCCCCCAGACTTGCTGGTAGGATCATACTGTTAGCAGTACAATGTGCAACTCACTGTAACTCCAGGGCTCCTAGGAAGGTGTGACTAGATAGATTAAAACCAGGATTACCTATCCAACATCAAAGGAATCCTCAGAGTCTAGAAATACACTGAGTCCTACGCATGACAACTAGAGAAAAACCATACTGAAATGTATTGTGCCGAACTCCAGAATACCAGCAGCAAAGAAAAGCTCTAACAATCACGCAGAAGGTGTCAGAAAAGGGAACAATTATTGTCGATGACAAGTGGACTGACACTTGGCTTCTCAATAGCATCACTAAGAGATAGAACACAAAGTGTTCATACCTTCAAAGTGCAAATAGAAAATACGATATAATGTAATCATTCCTAAGGGAGGGCAAAACAAACACATTTCAGATTGGCAAAGGAACGTGCTAGCCCTCGTGAGAAACCATCACTGAAAGAACTAAGAAAGGATATGCTTCAAAAGGAAGAAAATTTAAACCAAGATGGAAGGGATAGAAAATAAGAAGAAATGATGGTGTGTGTGTGTGGGGGGGGGTGGGGGCAACTAGTAAGCATCTGGGTATATGTAAATAAACAAAAATATGATGACTGGTGTGGAAGACATTCAAGGAAGTAAATGGAGTTTTAAAATTTGAAGCGCTTGCACTGTTTGTAAAGACAGTGAGATACTGAGCAGTTTTAGTGCCATGATGCATTTTAAAATTTTAGTGGAATCCAGGATGGTGATGACTGTTCAGAAGAAAAATACAACTATAATGGGAAAAGATGTAAGAGGGAGGTGATTTGTTGAGGGAAAGAGTAAATACAGAAAACCCAATCCAAATAAAAGTAGAGACTGATTTATTTCATGCTTAAAAAATTAAAAAGAAAAGAAATCTAAATGTATTAATGAATACAAATGGATTCAACACACCAGTCAAAAGACAAAAGCAAATTGGGATGTATTTTTTAAATCACAAGATGCCAACCTACATTATAAGGGCACCATAAATTTGAAAGTAAGAATACTGTTAATTATTTAAAATATAAAATCAACTGGTGGAGCTTTATTAATATGAGATCAATGTGTTTTTAAAAGTTGTTATTAATAATACAAGAATAGCTTCATGTTATTAAAGGACTATATCACCAGAGGAAATAATAAATCTAAATATTTACTTTATTAACATGATGTAAATATACTTAAATTTAAAAAAAGGCAAATGATAACAAGAACTAAACAAATCTCCATGCTTTCGTCAACTGAAGAGTATAGATATTTTTTTAAAAAGAAAGAAATAGTATAGATTTGGACAACATAATTAATCAGGTTGACCTAATAAGTTTACCTAAAATCCTGAGCCCTGAACATGGAAAGTACATATCCTTTGAAAACATGCAGGCATCATTTATACAAGAAATTAGTTGGAAGCAAAAGGAGTCTCAAAAATACTAAATTATCACTATAATACAGTGCACAATGTTAAAAAGTAAGAAGCCACTAATCAAAAATAACCTAAATACCTAGAAATTTAGAGATTACCATAGGAGAAAGAGTACAGGTGTTAAAGTTTTCTAATTATGGGAGAACAGTGAAAATAGAAATATTTAGAGTAAACAGAAATGAAAATGCCACATGCCAAAACCTGTGGAAACAAGTTGTTTTTAAAAAGGTCACTCACTGTAGGACATTTCACAACCTTAAATGCTTTGTTAGAAAATAAGATGGAACATAAAGAGCTAAGCATCAGTCTCAAAAGGTAGAAAAAGAACAAAGTAAATCCAAAGTACGTAGAAGGAAAGAAGTAATAAAGTTGGAGCAATCAGTGATAGATAAAGCAAACTTGCAATATCGAGATTTCATAAAAAGCAAAACCCGGGTCTTTAAAAAACGAATTAAGTGATCATCACAGTGGAGGCAGAGCAAAGAAGTTGTGGAGAGCAGGGGTGCTGGAGCCCACTGCCTGGCAGAGGTCCAGCCCAGCCACTTACCCAGCTGCATGGTCTCAGGGAAATAACCTGTCATGGCTGGGAGTCCAGTCCAAGGCTTGGACCGTCCAGCCCCTGTGGCCCCGTGCGGACTGGCGATCCACACAAAAGGGCATGCCAGCTGCTTATATCCCTTCCACAATGGAAATGGGAATGATCATCTCCATTGCACAGGTTGGGAACTGAGAATTTCTGAAACTATCGAGTGTTGAGAGGAGCCCTGGTGGCATCGTGGTTACAAATTGGGCTGCTAACCTCAAGGCCAGCAGTTCAAAACCACCAGTGGCTCCACAGGAGAAAGACAAGGCTTTCTATTGCCATAAAGAGTTACTGTCTCAAAAACCCACAGGAGTACTACCCTGTCCTGTAGGGTCGCTGTGAGTCGGAATCAATTAGAAGGCAGTGAAGTGTTGGTTTGGGGAGTCTATGAAGAATGCAGCAGCATTTTGAAAAAGCTTGAAGCATTGTGAGAATTACCACAATGTTGTCATGGAGACACGAAGTGAGCACACGCTGCTGGGAAATCTGGCCCCGACAGACTTGCTGGACACAGGTCACCACGAGCCTTCCGTTTGTAAAAAACGCCATGGCAGTGCACAAAAGGCAACCACTGTGAAACAACATATGCCTGTATTTTGCACCAAGCAGGAGGCTAAGATTTTTTTTTTCCGTTCCTCACAACATCCCTGCTCGTGGGTTCTATTACAGATTAAGGTCCATTAATACAGATTAAGGTCTTAAAATGCAGAGAAGTTACACTCACACAACTACAAATTAGAAGATGCAGGATTTCAAGCCAGACCCCTTAGCGCCAGGGCTTACATTCTTATCCACACCAAACTCCTGGGACCCAATTGTCTCATCCACCAACTGGGATAGCAACACCAGCCTGCTAAATTAGGAAACGAGACCAGGGGGATAAAGCCCTCAGGATCCCATGTGGCGGGCAGACAGGGATGAAGACACGTGTCCATCCTAATGACAATGAAGGAGGAGGGAGGGGGGGAGGTGGCGGCAGTGACGATGGCGACCACCCTTACTTACAAAGACAGAAGCCTGAAAGATCTTCCCAAAACAAACACCGTCACTGCCATCGAGTCCATACCGACCCATAGAGACCCCGCTGTGAGTTTCCAAGACGGTAACTGTTACTGGACTAGAAAGCCCATCTTTCTCCCACGGAGCGTCTGATGGTTTCAAACTGCCAGCCTCACAGGTCAGATCTCAGCCCAATGCGTAACCACTAGCCCACCAGGGCGCCTTCAAAAGGATCTGACCCTTCCTAGTTGTTCCAGAATAACTCCCTGTGTAGAATCCTTAAGAAGGCATCGTTCTGTGTTTGACACAATGGGTGGATGGATGAATTGTGATAAGAGTTGTACGAGCCCCCAATAGAATAATTTTTAAAAGAGACATTTTTTCCTCCCATTTCAATCACAGAAATCTTTAAGTGGCTATGTCGTGTGAGCACGTCTCTACGTGAGAATTTATTTTCAAAATCAAAATCACAGCATTTCACATTTGATAGAAATAGGAAGGAAAGTATTTTTAAAAATCTGACAACTAAAACTGCAGAGATATCAGGGGTGGGGGGTGGGCAGGAAGGGTGTTCACATGATTTAATGCAGTAAGCCTAGCCTTGAACTTAATTTTCCAGAATTCTTGATACAGCACGGCATAATCAGGGCGTGTTTGTTTCCTATATGCGAGTCACTGTTGCCATCTACAGTTCAAGGAGGGGCATGCAACGCCGCCTGGGGAACTGATGCATGCTGAGAAGTCTTCCTGGAAACGGCCCAGCAAGTACAGAGAAAGAAAATGCTACCTGAAGCAGCAGCTCTTTTTCAACCACCTCTTCGGTCTTGCTGATGAGACGCTTTTGCAGGACATGGATTTTCTGTATCAGCTCATAGGTACTGGGGTCACTGGCCTGTCCGAGAGGAACAAAAATTAAAAAGTAACTGACAGGTCATCAGTTACCGGAAACTTCCAAAGGACGGAGACCTCTGGGGGGATTATGATTGCAGTCAATGGCAGACCCAATTCAGAGAGAATCATAATCCCCAAAATATGTATCGTAGGTGAGGTGGTCATAAATAACTGCCTCCGCCGCCCCCTTCCCCAACCCAAAAAAAAAAGCAGACTGTAGCTTTCCTAATGTCTCATTCCTGACTCTACTCAGCCAATCAGTAGAAGTGAATATGCTTACTCCACCAACGAGAATGACAATAATGATAGTTACCAGGAGGGCTTGCTTCTTGGCCACCAGCTAGAGCAGATTTTAGCCACGTGGCAGCCCTATGAGACAGTATTAGCCTTCCCCTTTTCCAAGTAAGGCAAATGACGCTCAGAGAAGTCAAATCATTTAACCCCACGAGGGAAACCGGCAGCAGGTGAAGCTTGAACTAAAGTCAAGGCCAGATATGCCTGGGGCCCACGGTGACCGTGTTCTGACGCCACATCTCTGTTTCCGCAGGAATGAGACCGGGTTCCCTCATTTGCTTCAGCCGTAGGAGTCTCCTCTGGTGATTGTCAACAGGAAGATTCCTTACAGCCTGTGATGAGGACGGTTTTTAGGATGTGGACTTTAGCTAATAGCTGGCAGCAGAACACGACCATGACATTTAGCTCTCAAATGGAATTATCAATCTGTAGGCCTTTGATGCCTCTTCAGGAGGGATCTCTGTGCAATTCAAACAAGGGCTACAGTCCTAAATTGATCATGTGTCCTCTCGACTTTAGCCAAAGCTCCACTTGCAACTGCACTGACATTTTGAATTAAGATAGCTACTAAATATTTCCAACAGTCTCCCGAAGTCTCCATTTTCTAATGTCGTAACAGAAATTGACATAGAATTAGACACTTCAAAGATCTGACTTGAAAACGTCTGGAATAGCCCTGGGTGACAATAAATGGATTTAAAATCCCCAGAAACCTCCATAATACTCTTAGTTTCATAAGCTACAACGTCCTTAGTATTTGAAGAGGAGAAAATAAAGGCCCAAAAGGGGGAAAAGAAGAAGGATCCACAGACTGACTTTACTTAAATTCTAAGCAACGCCGAGTGATTTCCATATATCAGAACGAGAGTTGGCACGTATTCATTTGGCATGGCTGGCTGTTGTTAAAATTCAGGCCTCGTGTTTACATAACAATTTATAATGCATTAGCCTTAATGCTGTCTTCATTAAAAGGGGAAAAATGAAAAACAAAAACCTACTTGGCTGATTTTCCCCAGCTTTCTTTTGTCTCCTACCTACGTTCTCCTCCAAACCTAATTGGTCACTTAATCAACGTCCCTTCTAGCACCTGCCGGGTTGGGCACAAGGAAAGGAGATGGCCATCCTTCTCTGGAGCAAGCAGACTTTGTCTCTGAGGCGCTGATGGCAATGTCTGCCAGGAGTCGTGAAAGAAAATGCCATTTATTATCCATCACCTACCAATGGGACTTTGGCTGTGTCCCCAGACCCTAAGAGAAAGGGCTTGATTAGCAACGACTGGTCCTTGGAAAAGAAGAAAGCTAGTTCCCCAAAACCTCATGGCCTGTAGGGATTAAAGGGATGTCAAGGCCAATAGAAAGAAGGTGGCCAATAGTCTGAAGTTAACAGGTGGCCAGAGGAAAGCTGGCTGGCTGCTGGTGGGGGGTGGGGGGTGTTATGGATGCCCTATATCCCTTTTATTGCTAGTTTGCTGAGTGTTTATATCACAAATGGGCATTGAACTTTGCCACCCCTTGTGTGGCATTCATTGAAAAGGTCACAGCTCTCCTCTGTTAATACAGCCAATGCAGTTGAGGTTTGAATAGTCAGCCAACCTCACATTTCTGGGACATACCCATTTGGTTGCAATGTATTCTTCTGGTTATATATCTATTGGTAGATTTATTTTGACAATCGCGTGTTAATGATTTTGTGTCTGTGTTCATAAGGATGACTGGTGTGTCGTTTCCTTTTAATGTGTCCGTCTGCTTATGGTAACGGGTTTGCGAACTTCACAAAACAAGTGGAAAAGTAAATCCATCCTTCTCAAACTCAGAAAGAGTTGGTGTAAATTGTGTCGAGTGGCTGTCTTTCTTTCCCCTCTAACTATCTGATAGAACT